TGTCACTCGAATCTGTATTCCTTTTAGCAAATGCTTCAAGTGTTCTGTTCATTATTTCCCTGGTACTCGCCCACGTCATGGCGTCAGGTGTTACACATGTATGTGTACTCGAGTCCTCCGGTGCATTCGTCGATTCTTTGGTTCCACCCTTCACAGCAGCCTTGGACCCTACTGCCCCAATGTTTGCTGCAATCCGGGGTAACTGTGTAGATTCTCGTTTTTTTCCGTTGCGGTTCTACAAAATCGACTCTAGTTCCCTGTGGTTTGTCTGCCACTAATTTAGCTTGTGCTATAGAGTTTCTCAAGAGTGCATCCAGTTTGGAATGTATGGCACAAGAATTTTCAGCTTGATCCTTACTCATCGTATCCATTCTGGTCTCTGAATTCCACAACTTCTCATTCACAATGTCATAAGGTTTCTTCATTTCTTCCATATTCTTCTTGATATGTTTCTCTCTCTCTCTCTTTGTCGGTAGCCTCTGCATTGTCCGACATCTGCTGTAGCTTTTCTTCCGTGGCCCTTGCTAAGACGTAGTAATTATCCAGGTTCTCGTTTTTGTTGTGTTTTATTTCCTTTTTCAGATCTTGGCGGTCCTCCTCACTGCACTTCAACTTTTTGTCTATTTCATTTAACTTTGTCATTGAGTCTCCCAACTCTACTAAAGTTGTTTTCGTTCCATCAGCTCGTTTATCTTGGCTGGCTGTTGCTTCTTGCGTGACTTCTTCTTTCTCCTTCCTGGCTACCGTCGTTATCGTGGAGACTGTCCCAAAGGTTTTGCTTTTCTCGGTCACTGTCGTTGTCTCCTCCTTCTCTCTTGGCTTCATTCCGACCATCGCAGCAATCCTCTCGGTAAATGACGTTCTCATTCTTTGTGAGTCGTCTTTTTTCGTCTCCGGTGTGTAGGTCGCCTCGTCTCCATTGCCTATTGGTGAGAACTCTATGGTGTTCTTTTCCTGTTCTTCTGTATTTGGCATCGGTGTTGACTCCGTTTCCCTCCTTCCAATTCCTTCTATACTTTGATCTGTTGTTTCTAGGTCAGTCTCTTTTACTGGTATGCTTTGTTCTTCCATGTTTTTTTTGCCTTCTGTTCCTTGTTGCTTCTCGTGCTGACCATATTCACTGAAATATTCTTCCTCATTACTCTCGGATTTTTTGTTGTTGGTTTTTTTTGCGCTGGGGTCTGGTTTTGCTTAAGTCCTGTTCCCCTTCTTTCAGTTATCGATACCCTTTTTCTCCTCATGATTTTTATATACAATTTTCTTTATCTACAATTTTAATAGTTACAAGTCCCTACTGTAAAATCTGATTGAAACTATTAGAAAATTCCCTAATGTATTAAAAAAAACCAGTCTAATTAGCTTAAATCAGTTTTGAGTCTAAATCAGTTTCAGGCCTTAGGACCCTTCGTTCTAGTTTTGGGATGCTTTAGTATTGTCCCAGGATTTCTTGGTACTCTGCTAGGACCCTTCGCTCAAGTGTTGGGATACTTCGATGGGGTCTTGGTGTACTTTGGTACTGTCCTAGTACACTTATATACCCTCCCAGGACCCTTCGCTCAAGTGTTGGACACTTCGTTACTGTCCCAGGACTTTTCTGAAGACTCCTAGGACCCTTCGCTCAGGTGTTGGTACACTTCGTTGCTGTCCCAGGATTTTTCTGAACTCTCCTAGGACCCTTCGCTCAAGTGTTGGTTTACTTCGTTGCTGTCCCAGGACTTTTCTGAACTCTCTTAGGACACTTCGCTCAGGTGTTGCTACACTTCGTCGTTGTCCCAGGACTTTTCTGAACCCTCCTAAGACCCTTCGCTCAATTGTTGGTACACTACGTCGCTGTCCCAGGACTTTTTTGAACCCTCCTAGGACCTTTCGCTCAAGTGTTGGTACACTTCGTTGCTGTCCCAGGATTTTTCTGAACCCTCCTAGGACCATTCTCTCAAGTTTTGGTACACTTCGTTGCTGTCCCATGACTCTTCTGCACTCTCCTAGGACCCTTCGCTAAACTGTTGGGATACTTAGATCACTGTACTAAGACCCAAGTGTTGGGACACTTAGATCACTATCCCAAGACTGAGTGATGGAACACTTGGATCACTATCCCAAGACTGCCGGCAAGACTCTTGTACCTCTTCCCACCTTGCAGCTCAAGTGTTTCTTCGCTTGATTGAAGAATTTCCCCGTACCTTATATCAAGTATTGTGATACCTGATCCACTATCCCAGTACCACCTCTGGAGCTCTAGTATAAAAAATAATCCCCAAAACCCAATTTTGATCAACAAAATTTTCTTTACTAAGTCCCCTAAAATTGCTTTCCCTGTTTAAATCTGATGCAAGTCGAAACACGACTTGTTTGTTAGTCTATAATTTTAGCCGGTTCGTTAAAATTCTTTGAAATCTGGTCTAAAAATGTAAAAAATTCAAAAATTCTAATAAAAATGAAAATTACAAAAACCAGAAAGGTAAGTATACCTAAAACTCATAGCCGACCTATGCCGTCTTTCGTAAAAAATGTCTGGTACTTGACTGTCACGCGTTTTTCCTCCCCCCTACTAGCGGTCTTATTGGGTATCCTCCTTTTGGGTTCCAAAAACTGTCTATTTCCGATCCACCCACCCGATCTGACAAAGTTACCTCATTTAATTCGTTCTTAAACTTGGATCTCTTTGCGTTGCAACTCTTGTTCTGAGTCTATAGATGGATCGCTCTAGACTCTGGGTCTACTAATGTAACTCAATCGAAGAAATTGATTGTATAGTTACTATAATGTGTCCCCCCTTTCCTCAATTTTTAACCACCAACCTCTATCTTTACCAGCCCCCCTTCTAACCTCCCCCCTATCTAGTCCCCCACTTAAGCTGAAAATTACCCTTAAGCGCAATGAGTGCTAAACTTCTCGAGAGAAAGTCCGTAGACCCTGTTTCCAAGCTCTGCTCAAGTAAAAACCTTTCCTCAAAACAGTGGGTATCCGCTCATCCAATTTCACACTTATTTCATTTAATGTAATGTGAATTTTAACGATACCCGGTTGACCAAACAGAACACCTCTGTGTACCTTCCTTCGTTTGCTCTATTCTGCTTTGATCACACTGCTGGCTGTTCACCTGCTGGATGGTCACACTTTCCCCCTGGGCTGGTCACCTGTTTCAGTCAAGTCTCCCAGTGGTCAAGTCTCCCAGTTGTCCATTTTCCCGCATCGCTGGTCACCTGTTCCAGTCAAGTCTTCCAGTGGTCCGCTGATGTCACAAGCTATCTGAAAACCTTACAACGCCCCACACTTGGGCACCTGTACAACGTTGCTGGTTTGATCGATACGATCGGTCTTATTGGAAAACAGTATGGGTATACTATTTTAATTAATATTAAGCATTGCTCCTACTAATCTGGAAGTCAAAGCCACATTCCTTTTTGTATTTTTTACAGTTTGTGTTCGTATTTTTAATCTTTTTTGGTTTTTTGTTTCGTTTTTCGTCTTTAACTTGTTTTTTTTGTCCCCTAGTTGCCCCTATTAGTCGGTTAGCTAAGCCTCGTTTCGGGAAGCGCACCAAGAAATTTCCTCAAGTTTTCTTAAAAAACTAACCCGGTACAACCAGAAGGTGGACACGTTCCCCTTGAACCGCACCACCGGTACTCTAGAATGGTTATATAGCCCGGAGCTGTATCAAGTGGGTTCGATCCCGTAGTCTTGATGTCGTGAAAACACCCAGGAGCGCCATAAAAACACCATGTAACAGTCGCCTACTTAAGTCACATATGAGGTTAAAGAAAAACAGGCCCTATAACCATTTGCTCAAGAGTCAGGGACCTTATCTCTTGTGTTTTTCTACCTCAAGCGGTTGAGCCATTTCGGTTCACTTGCGACATGAGACTAAAACCTGCGTTACAGCTTAAAGGCCACTACCAAGATACCCCCAGTCTAGAAAATAAGAACGCCCTATACTCAGGTCTCAAAATACGCGAACGCCGTTAAAAACTGGGTCGGAACTTTATGTATAGTTACTTTTTTAAGACAGTGGACCTTTCATCCATTTCAGATGGATCAACCTAAAAACTCTCCCTACCTCAACATAACAACATAAAACACACTCAAGAAAATTAAATTGGGTACTCACATACCGACACGACCTCTAGAATCGAGTAACTAAACTATAAAGCAACTAAAATTGATTGGGTAATTAAGTTCAACTCGAGAAGTTCGAAATAAGTAAGTTTTAACTGAAGAAACAAGTTTTTGGTCTGGACCATTGGGCAGCTTCAGCTGTCCACCTTTCCATCGAAGGTTCACTCTGGTCCACTCTAATTTACTTCTCCTCCACTCGCGATCACCTTCTGCCAAGGATAAGACAGCTCTACTCTCGTTCGAATTATGTATTGGAAATTGCGAATAGCAATTTCCCGCTGCTATTTTGACTACTTTCCCGCGATTGTTGTTCGATTCTTCTGATCTTATTTTTCTGGTAATTTCAGTTGTCGCGAGAACCTTGAGCATGACATGCTTAATTCGATTTTTTGAAAAATTGCATTTCATCCCAAAATCAAGACTAAACGTTTTCTCAAGGTAAAACTTCCAAATATGACCGACTGGCACAATTGAATTGAACTGATTGTATATTATATTTTCTCGTGTCGAGTTGCGTGTTCTTATGGAAGAAACGTAACCCGTATCGATTTTAATTGTAAGGTCATCAACACTTGTCATCTTCTTTTATCATTATCACTTCCATATCTAGATAATTCCAAGGATTTTGACTGGAATACGTGATGAAGGGACTCCTGAATGTAACCTCGGTTACTATGATTCTTTTGATCTTCTGATTACCCTTGAAAAGTTTTCATAGTTGCTGCTCGATAAGGGATTCCTAATGCGTTTTTAGGCTGTTTGTGAACGGCTGTTTTTAAGGCTGTTCACTGAGTCCCTTTTCCTGTTTACTTTTTAAAAATACTTGGTTATCGTTGTATCGATATATTGCGCAGCGTTCTATCAATTGATTTCTTTTCAGAATAATGATCTGAACGTGTATGCGCTACTTTATCAATGGAGCTCGCAGCGCTCATTCCTTCCGTTGGCGCTAATGAAAATTCGACTGCAGTTAATGTGCCTGAGCTAGTGGAACAATCTGTGGCAGATGTTCCAAATACGACCAAAGCGCCTAAAGCTAGTGTAGTCCCTGCTGAATCCGGAGCATCGAAAGGTGTGAATCCACATGGGGAAACCTGCGTGAGCTTTGAAATTGAGCTGCAAGATATTTGCGAATACGAGAATACACAGGAAGTTCAAATTTTGCAGTTGTATGAAGACAAGTTCGGCAAGGTCAGATAGTATACCTATTTTTTCTTCCGACCATGGAAAATGGAGAACTTTGTATTCATGTGTGTTCCAGTTTTTGCCTTTCTGGTAGTTTAATCATCGGAATGGGTCGAGTGATGTATCAAAGTTGTCCCATTTCGAGAAAGCGGGTTTAAATTTTTTGAATTTTAGTTCAAAATCCAGCGAGTAAAGCGATCGAGTACCGTTCGTTATATGAAAATTGAACTGTTAGTAGGCGTCGATGCTTAGGTAACTTGATTTTACTAGGAATAAAACTAGTTTTGCAAGTTTAATTTAGCGCTTTCTTGCCAATAGAGGTTTTGTATAGATATTTACACAAGCAGAGCTCTTTTTTTTCTAACCTTAGTAGCAAATATTGTTGCGACCCAAATATTGTTGTGAAAAAATGTGTTCATTTTGATCAATAACCAGCTATTAAGTACAGCCAATGCTAAGGATATTAACACTGACTATTATATTACAAATAGCTCTTTAGCTTCAAGGTTTCATGGGTCTGTAGCGTAGAGGTAGGAAAGAAGACCCGCATCAAAATAAGAGGGTTCGAACCTGGGCAGGGTCAGATGTTTTTAATGAACTTTTTCGTATACTAGCTAAAATACGTCCGCTCTATAAATCGAGGCATGTTAGGTGGTAAGTTTCTTTTTTTTCAACTTGATTGGTGCCGCTAATGTGCCATAATTGGCATGTGTCTCTTAGCAATTATTAGACTCATAATTGGCGTGCGTCACTTAAGAAATTTTGTAAACTCAAAGTTTAACTCATTCAGTTTTTCCCGGTAGTGTTATAGGTCATATTTTTGTTTGTGTATGCGAAGTGCAACTCCGCCTCTGTGTTAAAAATATGTGCAAAGATTCAGAAAAAGTTATCTAATCACACCATGCTCTAAAAACGACACTAATTAGAAGGAAGGAAATTGTTTCCATGAATGTGATCAGAACATTCTGTGCTACTTCAGAGCTTCCAGCTATCCCTGTTATTTATTGGTTTTATGTTTTTTCGGCTACTTTTTTTTGTTTCCTTTTTCCGTTGTTTGAAATGTTTTACTCAAGAGACTATGAGATGAACGAGGGGTTGTATCAGAGGCAGGGTTTTGTCTAAGCTGACGTGCGAACTTCTTAAATTGTAGGACACAATTCTTAACAAGGGTAGCTGGTTGTTATATAAGTTGCATAGAAAGTTTTTACCACAAAATTGATTCGAAAAATGAATATATATAGAGAAATTTTTCGAACAATATTTTAACTTTAGCTGGGTCCCTTAGTGCAATTGTTGTTGATATGTAAATTTGCTAACTCTGGCATATTCATGGGTCCCACCGTTCAAGGAAATTAAGGAAAACCTGGAAAAGTCAGGGAATTTGAAAATGGTCAGGGAAAACCTGGAAAAGTCATGGATTTTTTCAACATTTATGTGTGTACTTAAACATTATAATAACGTCTCATTTATTTGACTTAAGGTCTTGTTTTCACAGTATTGCTTTGAGTTCCGAACAGGGAAGTTGCTGTACTGTCCGGTGTTTTTGGATGAGTGGTGTTCTCTTCAGTAAACGATGTTATAGGAGGTATAGCAACTCTGATATGCATACCCCTTGACATTCAGTGTTTCTACATAATTCATATAAAAAATTGTCAGTTTTTTGATAAAACAGGGACTAGTCAGGGAATTTTGAATTCTAAATTCCGTGGGATCCCTTTAACTTAGTATATTTTTCTTTTTTCGCTTCAAAGCTTTATTCGGTCTTAATAAATTTGGCTTATGTTTTAATGGATTAGTGAACCTATTTTGTGTCGTTTTTTGTAGGGGAAATGGAAAATTGTTTTTTTAGTAAACAATTCATGCCTGTTAAATTTTTAATGTTTTTAAACTTAATCGCTCAAAAGCTTTCTAATGACCACATTTTCTTAATATTTTTGTTCGGCTCAATGAGCGTCGCAGTTTTTTTTGTAGCCAAAAAAATTTCAGCTGCAAATCATTTTTGTTCTGCCATGATTAAATACTGATGAGCAATGTGTGTTCACGTTTAACTTAAATTTTCAGGTTCCTGAGGGTGATCTGGAAGGCAACGAGGAATATGTAACGATGCACAACTATTGGAAGTTTCTGGAGTCTAAAATGGTAAGTTTGGCTAGTTATCAATTTTCAATGTAGTTTGTTGAGTTTCTTATATATCAATCAATTTTCATGCAGAAAGTATACTACTGTCTTAACAGGTTTTCCATGTTTCAGCTTCCCAAATATTCTTCGACCATCAGACGTGATCGCATTGAGGCTAGTACTACCTGCTTTGGTTAACTTATATTAGATAATAGTAGAAGCACTGTTACTAACATGATCGGAATCGAACGAATTAGTTTATGCCAGATGAGAATTTTCAAGGAAATTTCAGTTAGCAGTTGAGTGCGAAAGTTATTTTTCAAATTTGATTCTTGATTGAATAATTTGTGTTTCAATATAAAGCTAGATGTAAATGTTCTTAAGTGTTTCCTCTTTTCGCGCAGCTGACATCCTGACAATAATTTTCTTTTAAAGGATTTGGCGGGTCGCTATGCCAGCTTTGATCTCAGCTCCATTGGCACGGAGGACGAGATCACCACCGAAGACCGGGAGTTCGTCGACAACACAAACATGGTAAGAGCAAAGAAAGAAATATTTTAGTTGACTTTTGTTTGCTTCCGATAATCAATAGATATAAATATAGTCATTCAAACAACGCAAGAGGCGTGTAGTAGGTAAAAAACGAGATCTTAGAGAGCCTGCTCATCAAAGTGCTTAATTTTGGAGATAATCCTGAATAGAAAATTGAATCAGTGAATACGATTCATGCTCGCTGAAGAGTTTTATTAGCACATATTTCTTTGTTAAATATCTGATTTAGAAAAATAACAAGAACCACTCAAGGAAATGGCTCTAGACTTTTGATTAATCTCAGCGGAATAGATATGGGTCATTTTTAAAATTAATCTCTTCTAGTCTTCGGCACAAAACTCTATCTAACTGCAGCTTTAAATCATTTTTAAGTCTTTCTTTAGCTATTTTGGGCCCTTTTAATTGTATCACCTCATCCGCACCATAAGAGTTTTACAATTTCGAAGTTGAAATCACGAAAAGCTGAAATCCTATAAAAAATACCAGCAACAGTAATATATTCATTGCCAGCATATTGTATGATCATATATATATTTTAAAAAAATCGATCATTTTTGAATTTCTCACTGGTCCGTAGATACGTAGTTAAAGAGTCCTTCTATAATTTTTTCCTTGAGTTTGTCTTGACTTACAATAAAGGATGCTGTGTATGGATTTTTTCTACCTATACTTGCCAATTTTTCCACCTACTTTTGCGAATAAGTTGTATATTTTCTTATTATCCGATTGTTTTCAATGAACATTGTGAAACCACTCATTACACCATAAAATGCGAAATAGGGGGTGAGGGGAGGGAGGAAAAAGTCCCTTTTTATTGATTGAGTGCTTTGATATCAGGTCGATTTGTACATTCCTGCCACAATGGTTGCACCCTACCGAGGCTTCTACGTGAACGACGAGCCACTCTACTTCAAAATGTCAGAAGAAGCAGAATCTGACGGGGAAGGAGAGGGTGGGCTGACCTCACAAGATGAGACTACTTCGCCTATTGGAGGAGCGGGGGACAAGGATAAAGAGAAAAAACGGAAGAGGAAACGAAAGGTAGAATGTGACAGCAATGTGAAAATAAATGTTCATTACGACGAAATATTGTCAACTATTTTAGAGCAATGGTCTGTTAAAGTAGATGTTATTTTTTCGAAGTAAATTATTTCATATTTTATCATGGATCCTAACCGCAATAACGAAGTTGTTTCATTGTAAATGACACTAAATTTGTTGTTAGGCTCCTTAAAATATTAGGAAATGTGTTATCATTCAGGAAAATAGCGGGTTCATGATACTATATGGCTGGTCAAAGTTTTCGGAGAAATAAGCGAAGTCCTTCCGAGATGTCTTCCCCTCTCCTACTAATAGTTAGTGCTTATACGAACACAGAATACGCCTGTAGAAAAGTTTTGAGTTAGTCAGCCAGATAGACGATGTAGAAATTTATGAAGGTAATACTGGTATAGCGCTTCCCAGATGTTGTACCTACGCGCGGTGGAAAGCGATACCACAAAAGCAACATCACCTCAAGAAGGAGAAGAGGAAACGACTACGCAAGGAAATCGTTTCAAGGACCCTTTTTGGGAAGGGAGCGGCCCGGCAATAGCCGAACCGAGCACCTCCTAAAACAACCTGTAGGCTATAAAAGTCGCCTCAACGGCCGGGTGCTCAAGGTTGACGAACGACACCAGGCTAGGATTGTAAAATGGTGCCTGATGGACATACATCCGAACCCCGGGCCGAGGACAGTGGACATCAACAGGTGGGCTGAACAGAAGCTTCGGGAGATGCGAGCACGGAAGAGGAAAGAAAGACGCAGTGAAAAAAGAGGTTCCAAATGTACGCGTATGCTAGCAAACCGGAGCAAAGAAGGGAAGGAGCACCTAACGGGGAAAGCGAGAAAGAAAGAGAAAGAACAGTGGAGAAGGAAAGTGAATCAGAAATTCTCAAAGAGAACCAACCTTGACTCTGAGATAATCACGTGGAACCTGCAGAGGTGCAAAATCCAGGTGGATGGACGAGGTCGAATTCAGCATATCCTAGCAGCAGTACAGGAGAACAAATGGGATGTTATCCTGCTGTCGGAAATATCCTCAAAAGAGGAGGGGGTATGGTGGTACGAAGAGGACTCAGTCCTAATCCATGGGAAAAGAGCCGGTATTATCTTAAGAAACCATTGGGCCCAAGAGTGGAAGAAGCAAGGGAGCCAAAAATGGTTGACCGAACGAGTAGCCATGGTAACAGTGAACAACGTTAAGCTGATCGCAGTCTACCAGCCAGTATCGCCGAATGATATAGAAATCGACGAATACCGAAAACAGCTAGAGACAGCGATATCGTGTAGGAAAAAGGACGAAATGTTGCTCATATGAGGAGACCACAATGCTCAAATAGGCAGACAAGATAATACGGGAAAAGAGAGGACTCTGGGAAAGTTCGGGTTACGAGCAAACTCGGTAGCAGGAGACGAAGTCGTCGAGTGGGCGGAAAACAATAACCTGTACATCGTGGACACCTACTTTAGAAAGAATAATAGAGGTACGTGGTGTCATCCAAGAACAGGTAATTGGTACGAGCTGGATTACTTCTTAGCTAAGAGACACAGAAATTTAATCATCAAAGATATGAAGGTGGTACGGGAAGACAGATGGTCCGATCATAGGCCCAAGATGATTAAAGTGAGCTTCAGAGAAAAGAAGGAAAGATTCAACCGTACAAAGCAAGAGAAATTAGACTGGCGGCAGCTACGCATCGAAAAACATCATGATGCGTATCAGGAACACATAAGCAAGGCCTCCCTTTCAAACGAACCCTCTTGGACAGAATTAGCAGAAACCATGAAAAGGGCAGCCAAGGCTGCTTGTGGGTTAGAAGATACAAGAAGCAAAACCAGTCAATGGATGGTAGGCCATGAAGACCAAGCAAGAGAGTTCAAAAGCGGAATTCAAAGGGCAGTCAAAAAACGGAACGAGGCAACAAACGAGGCGCAAAGGTACAATGCAAGGTAAGAGCTTAAAACAGTACGAAAAGAGTATAAACAGAGACTCAGAGAGTGGGAAACAGAATGGTGGGAAGCTCTCTTAGTCAAATGCGAGGAAGCTATGCGTAGGCAAGATATCGGGGAGATGTACAGCATCCTCAAGCAGCTAGGACTTAGAGATTACGCAGTACCTAATTCTAAAGCAACAGTAATCCCAGCGGAAACTTTTAAGCAACACTTCCAGAAAGTGCAAGAAAAGTGCAGGACTGACAGAGAAGATCCAGTCGAGGAGGCTCATACGAGAGTTCGCTCAAACAACACCAGAGGGACGTCAAAAGGCCAAGGAGTGCAGTACAATGCCTTCAGAAGAAGAAATTATCAAAGAGTGGGCGAAGGTTAAGGAAAAAGCACCGGGCGAGGACGACATCCGAATGATCTACCTTAAGTCAGCTCCAATAGAATTCCAAAAGAGAATAGTAAAAATGATACAAACCATGTTCACAACATCAGCGGAATATTGGGATGATATAGTCAAAGTGGGAATCATTATTCCTCTGCACAAGAAAGGAGCGAAGGACAACCCCGATAATTTCCGCGGTGTATGCCTGTTATCCATGGTGAGCCGAATTCTCGCTAGAATTTTAACAACACGACTCCGGGATTGGGGCGAGGAATTTGGCGCCCTAGATGATAATCAAGATGGTTTCAGACAACACAGATCTACGACCGACACCACCCAAATAATGGTCAGACTACAGGAAGATAACCGAAGGATATGCGAATCACAAAGTCTGAATAGAGACCGAGCGTGCCTATTAGATCTGAGAAAAGCTTATCCAAGAATCAATCGACCACTATTGTGGAAAATACTGGAAAGCTATGGGTTCGAAGATAATTTCCTAGGACGATTAAAGGAACTACACGAAGTAACTTCTTACAAAGTGAAAGGTAATAAGGAAGTTAGCTCCGAATGGATACCTCAAAGAGGATTGAGGGAGGGATGTCCTTCTTCCCCAATGCTTTTCAACATATTTCATCAAATCACAATAAGAGCAGCAGAAAAACAAAGGGAAGACAATGGAATAAGAATCACTTACGTACCTGGAAACACCTGCATGACACAAAGGAGAGACAAACAAAATGCTGAAGCGAAGCATATAGACCTCAAATACGCCTTGTTCGCTGATGACACTACTATCTTGAGTAATAGGGAAAGTATGGATGTCGCAAGAGACACCACCAAAAGAGTAATGGGCCTCTTCGAGGAAAAGACAAACGATTCTAAAGAGGAAAACATAACTCTTGGTAAAACCAGTGCGGCAGGAACCAGATTCTTGGGCCTTTGGCTGGGAGAAGCTGAAGACACAAAAGTACGATTACAACGCGGGATGGGAGCTTGGACAAAGGTCAAAAGACGCCTCAAAAACTCAAGGTTAACTAAAAGAACGCAAGCGCGTGTAGTTGAGGCAGTAGTAGAAAGCACCATGTTGTACAACTGCCAAGTACGGACCTGGAATGTGTCAGAAATAAACAGAATCCAAAGGAAGGTAGACCAATGTTACCGTTATGTTTGGAGTTCAAAAACCCAACCACCGCTGAAGGAAATGGAACAAAAACACAAAAACAGTTGGAATGTAAGGAAAGAACTCAGAATAAAATCAGTCAGAAGTAAAATCGAAAAACGGAGTATGAAACGCCTAGGACATATGATACGTATGCCCGACGACAGAAGAGTGAAGCACGTAACTTTTGGTTGGTTAAGCAAGTTAGAAGAAACTGAAAAACCGAGAGCGAAGTACCGTTGTACTCCCAGACAATGGATCAAATTGATGTGCGAAGCAGGAATTGACCAACTAGATATCGAAGAGATGGCAAAAGACAGAAAGCAATGGAAAACAATTATAAAGAACAGAATGACACATCTGGAAAGATGGGAGGAATCCCAAGAGAATGGATGGGAAGGAGGCATAATAAAACGCTCACAAAGAGAGGAAAGCGTCAATCTCGGGTGTAGCCAATGCGAAAAAGTCTGCAAATCTAGAGCTGGTCGGGCAGTGCATATAAGAAGAATGCACAGAGAGAACGCAGAACATACGTGCATCAAATGCCACGCCAAATTCCCAACGAAAACAAACCTGAAGAATCACGAGAAGAAATGTCGAGGAACAACAAGCCCAACCAAGTACGTCCCGGCAACAAAGGAATGTCCAATGTGCAACAAATTGGTATCAGCAACCAACCTAGCGAGACATATGACCAGGAGCTGTAGAAAGCGACATGGGGGACCCTAACAGGGTGAATACCCGAGAGAGAGAGAGAGAGAATACTGGTATAGCTAAAAAGGAGTTACTAAAGCCTAGTATGTGCCACGTATAAAGCCATGGCTATTTCTACAAGCTATATAAGCTATATCAAAAGCTGAATTAAGTATAAGAAGAATACTTGAGACAAATTATGATTGACTTTGTCATATTTGACCGTGGTTGGTTATTGGTGGCTTGCGTCGTGTCGTCTCCTCCTCGGTCCTCGTGTGGCAGTCCTGTGGTAATCTGGTCCGTTGAAAGGACCCGGATTGGGAACATTCAGGTTAGTGAAATAATCAATTGAAGCTTGTTCCATTTGTCTCCTAGCTTCTCTCGATTGCATCCATTCAGCCACCTTTTGTCTGTAATCGTTCCGGACACTCGGAAGTCGCTCCGGATGAAAAGGACCACTAGACAAAAAATATTTTGACATGCAGAAAAAATATATATTTTTTTGATAATCAAGTTAAAATTGCAGGCTTTAAATGATAAATGAGAGAGAATATGATGTTTGAGGTGTGCGGGCAGCCTGTGACTCTTAGCAGTCGGGAGAATTAGTTTTGCGCTTAATTTTTGAAGCTTGACCGAAGTCAAGCTTGTTCAAAGTAATAAATTTATCTTGAGGTTTCTGGTTTTTTCGACAAAACAATTCCCGAAACAGAATTTAGATCATGCTTAAAAATATAAAGAAATTGATCTATATTAACATCACCTCTGCTCCGAATGGCTGCTGGGTGATTGGGCAGCTTCTGGAAAGTCGAGGTCTAGTT